TCAATATAAAATATATATTCTATAAAATTTTTATTAAATATAAATAAATATTTAATATTGAATTTTATAATTTTTGTTAAAATAAAGTTTTTTTATATTTTATTAAATAAAAATTTAAATATGTACTAGATAAAAATTTATGAAACTTAATATTTAAATACTTTAACATATGCCAAACAAAATTTATTAATATCAAATTACTTATTAAAATAGTGGTTATAAAAATTGTATGGATATCAAAATTTTAATAAAAAATTAAAAAATCTTCGTTCAGAAAAAAATCATTAAGTATAATAATAAAAATTCGTTCAAATTTAATAAAAATTTAACTATATATAGAAATCATTATAAGTAATAAGTTTACTTAATACATAAAAGTTGTTTTTATTAATAAAATAAAAAATTTAATACATGACAACTATTTCTGTTTAATTATAATAATTCTTAAGTAGTCTTTCATTTATTGGGGGGAACTGTATCTATTTAAAAATATTACCGTATACCACTGCATACAATACCCCGGATATTAATCAATTTACCTCCTAATAAATTGATTAATACCCAGAGGGGTATTTTACTAGGAGGGGATAGTATTAGTAGCAGGGTATATCATTATTATAAAATTTAAAATAATATTGTTTTACTTATTATTATATTAATATACCTGGGTAGTAATCAATTATCAAGTAACAATTTTCTTGAATACTACCTGGTATTATTAGTGGGGGGATAGTATTTGAAGGGGGGTATTGTATGCAGTGGTATATGGTAATAAATTTAAATAAATTTTTACATAAAATAAATAAATTATTTAATAAAATTTTAAATTTTTTTAAAATCTTTTTATTGATAAAACTATTTCTATTTTTAATATTAATTTACAAAATTTTAAATTTTTATTACTAAACACTATATATTTATATGATTTTCGCAACTTTTTGACTACGTGACGATCAGTAATAAAGTCACATGTCTATATTCCTCATGATCCACATAAAATTTGCCTGCACATATGCTGCACAATGTCATAGGTGTGTCGCATAAGTAAGGTAAGGGGAACAGCCACCCTGTTACTTATTTTTAGTAATAAATCTACAAGTGATGCATAGTTGACGCACGGGTGACGCACGAAGAACACCCCCCATGTCTTCTATTTCGGGTAAAAAATCTCTGCTATCAATGGGTATGTGGAACAAATCATATGACAACTTAATAGTGATCGGCGTTCAAAAAGAACTCGCATACATGATTTTTAATTGAATACAATCAATCTAAAGTCGATGATCGCCCAAGATCATGCGATAATCATCTGATAAATCGTGTTTTTCTTCCAAACGCGTTCTGAACTACTCACACTCACAATGGACACCTACTATGGCTACTTCAAAGAAACGAACCCCGAGGAATACCACTTCTTGGATTTTTACAAGTACCGCAGTAAGCAAACTGATTTCACATATTCATTTCAAAAGGAAGCAGACATACTTCGGAAATGTCTGTCCAACATATTGAAAGAGAGTTCGGAAGACATTAAGGAACAGATTAGTCTGCTACTACAAGATTTTGAGGCAAGTTATTTTGATTTTCTGAACGGTTGGCACGTAGTATGGGAGATTTCCAGCAGTCCCGAGAAGGGGGTAAAAACTCTCACAACTACGGTGGGCATCTACTTGTTACCCATCTTATGGTCTACTTGTCCGTTGTGATCTGCCAT